TAGAACTGGGACTACTTTGACTTTCATAGTTTGCACTGAAAAGTCAGCTGTAATCCTGATGGGTTTTCCTTTATATGTGACTTGTTTTTCTTTTGCAGATTTCAGTATTCTCTCTTTGTTCTGTTCATTTGGTGTTTTTACTATGATGTGCCGTGGAGAATTTCTTTTCTGGTCCTGTCTATTTGGTGTTCTATATGTGTCTTGTATTTGTATGGGCACATCTTTCTTTATCTGGTCCATGCCATTATCTTGGGATTCTTCTCCTTCCTGTATGCCTATGGTTCACAAGTTTGGTCTTTTTATGGTGTCACACAATTCCTGCATGTTCCATTCTTGTGATTTCTTAAATTTTTCATAATCTTTGCTTGAGTGGTCCAGTTCGTCCACTTTATCTTCCAGTCTTGGTACTCCTTTTTCCATTTCATTCATCCTATTGATGAGGCTTTCTCCTGTCATTTCTAATTGGCTTTCTAAGTGTTTCACTTCCTTCTTCATTTCAGCCTGAGTAAATTGTTCTTTTGAGTTCCATGTCCCGTGTTATCTCTAGGGGATTCTCATTGTGCTCCTCTACAAGACTGATGGTACTTGGTAGGGATATATTATTTGGGTTTTTCATGTTATTATTTTTTCACTGTGAGTTTGACAAGTGTATTTCTTTTGTAGTTTCTGATTCTTGTATGAGACTCAAGCCTTTCTTTGTTGAGTTTAGGTCTGCTTCTCTTTGTAAACTTTATGTTCCTTTGTGATTTACTTGTTGGGCATGAAAAGCTGGTTGGTCTAGGCTTCAGGTTCTCTCCTTTGGTTTTATATTGAAGTGGCTTTCATCCTGCTGCTCAGGAATTCCCACAGAGGCCCAAGTCAGATGAGGATCAGATGCTCTCAGGCTTTCTCCTAAGGTCTGGATCCCTCCAGGAAAGATGCTGTCCTCAGGAGTTTGAGGGCTGGGTTGGCCTGGGAGCAGGGCCCAGGGAAGATACTGACCCCCAGAGATGCAAAGGGAGGTGGGAGCAAGACAAGGCCCAAGGGCTCTTGGGGACTACAGGGAGAAATTGGGTTAGTCTGGACGCAAAGCATCAGGAAGCAGTCGGATTCTGGGCTAAGAGGTCAGTCCACGGGTCTGGGTGCCACGACAAGAAAAGGGCCGGTCCCCCTGCTAGGAGGAGAGATGGGCTGGGTGATCTGGGAGGGTGAATGTGGCTAGGGGAGTCAAAGTGCAGTGAGCACAGCAGTCAAACTTACCCAGGCAAGCTGCTGGCTCCAGCGGATTTTAATTTTTTAAAAATATTTTGTTTATTATTTTAATTTTATGGGTGAGTATGAGTGTATTGACTGCATGTATGTAAGTACACCCATGTTGTGTAATGCCTGCAGAGGTCAGAAGAAGGTGTCAGATCCCCTGGAACTGGAATTACGGAGGCTTGTTAGCTGCCATGAGGGTGTAGGGACTCAAACCTGGGTCTTCTGCAAGAGCAGCCAGTGCTCTTAACCTTGGAGCTATCTCTCCAGGTTTTTGATGGAGCAGACTTCAGAGTAAGAAAAATTACCAGGGTTAATATACAAAAGCCAATTGCTTTTCTATGTGTCAGTAATGAAGTGAAATTTGAAAATTAAAAAGACAGTATTATATAAGGAATAGTTACAACTTGAAATGCCCAGGTATAAATAAAATATGTACAAAAGGTATACAGTAAAACAACAAAACCTTGATGAAAGTTACCAAAAACTAAGTAAAGGAAGAGGAGTCCCATTTTCATGGATAGGAAGAGTCAAGATGTTGATTCTTTAGGGCTGGAAAGATGGCGGAGCCCTTTCCAGCAGGCAAGGAGTCTATCAGTGAGTCTATCAGAGGGCTGGAGTCCAGTTCCAGCATCCACATTAGGCAGCTCACAAACACCTATAACTCCAGCTCCAGGAGATCCAACACCCTCTTCTGGCCTCACTGGGCACCTGCACACATAGATACACAGACACACAGATACACACAGATACAGACACAGACACATAGATGCACAAATAAAATAGTAATTTAAAAAAAGATGTTGGTTCTTCGCAACTTGATCTGTAAATTGAAAGAAATTTAATCGGACTCCCAGGAAGTTATTGGGTGGTTAACAACATTCTGATTCTAATATTATAAGGAGAAACTTGAATAGTCAGTATATTGAAGGAGAAGAATTGACCCCACCTATGATCAAGATTTAGCACCTTGATACTGGTGAAGCAATAGATTGATTAATGAATGGCAAGCTCTCAAATATAGCCAACCAGCTCTTCACCAAGCAGCAGAGGTCATTCAATGGAGAAAGACTGTTTTCAACAAATGGTGCTGGAACATTCTCATGTGAAACAATCAAGACATAGGCTTTACGTCCTTCAGAAAAATTAATTCAGGTTGGACTGTAGATCCAAATGTAAAATGAAGTACTCTAAAATTCTTAGAGTACAACAGGGTAGAATTCCCAAGACTTTGCATTTCCTGATGCCATTTTAAGTTTAGCACCAAAGACATAAACCATGAAAGAAAGAATTGATAAGCAGGACTTTAGGAAAATCAGAAACTTCTGTTCCACAAAAGATATCATCTAAGCCAGGTGTGGTGGCACATTCCTTTAATCCTAGCACTTGGGAGGCAGAAGCAGGCAGATTTCTGTGAGATCAAGGCCAACCTGGTCTACATAGCTAGTTCCAGGTCAACCTGGGCTATATAGTAAGACTGCGTCTCAATACCTTGTCCCCCCAAATAAAAATCTTAAAAAAAAAAGCCCTGTATGGTATCATACACATGTAATCCCAGTATTGGAGTGGTAAAGCCAAGTGGATCCCTGGGACTGGCCAGCCAGCCCAGCCTATTTGGCAAGTTCCAGGCCAGTGAGAGATCCTGATTAAATAAATCAATCAATAAATAGGTGGACAGTGTCTGAAGAATGACTGTTGAAGTTATCCTCCGGCCTCCCGTGATGCACGCGCACACACACACACACACACACACACACACACACACACACACAGTGGGAGAGTAGAAAGATCAGTGGTTGGCAGAGATGCAGACAGAGGCTGAACACAGAGACATGTCTGTGGAGATGAAGGCATTCATACAAGACTCTCCAGGTATGACTCGCACAACACACAGACCCACAGCATGCACAGCACCCCAAGACCCTGTGGAAACTGAGGATGTCGAGCAGTAGTGACGTATCAGTTGGGTTCATCAGGTTGGCAGAGGGAGAGATTGAGGGAGGCGGGTAAGGAACCCATATGTGGCAAGTCTCTGTACTTTCTGATCACCTCAGTGAACCCCAAATGCTCTTTAGAAAAGGTCTAGAAGCCATAGTATCAAGCGCACTGCTCCTTGGGATGCCTACCGCACTTGTGACATGAGCTTCTTTGTGTATGATCCAACCCCAAACTCTAAGGACCAGCTGTCTGGCACATGTGGCCCATAGAAAAGGTCCTCATACTTTGCTTGTAGTCTGACCCAAGAATTCTCAGTATTTGTTTAACTAATGAAAAATGAAGGAGAGACAAAACTTAGAGCCATTCATTTGCTTTATTATTTTTTAAAAAATATCTTATTATTTTTATTTTATGTGTATGAGTGCATTGCCTGCATGTGTGTACGTGCACCCGTGTCGTACAATGCCACAGAGGTCAGAAGAGGGCTTTGGACTCCCCTGGAACTGGAGTTACAGATGATTCCACCATGTGGGTTTTAAGTTAAATTTACTGCTAGGAGGCGTGCCTGTGGCTTCCAGGCTCCGGGTGTGGCCCCTCCTCCCACCGTCCCAATGACAGACTGACAAACTGAGATTCTATTCCTCCAAACTACAGTTTAGGGAACAAAACGACTTACTGGGCTTGTTAACGGAGCATAGGGTGGAGTGAGGGGTACTACAAAGGTGCTGGCGCCCTTGGGTTATTTTCCCTACATTCTGGCTACGGCTTCCAGGCCTGTTGCCAGTTCAAGACAGCCAAGTGTTTTCCCTCTTTCTGGCCTCCCCTGCCCCTATCCTTAGTCCTTCCTCCTCATGCAGTTAAGGCTGACTGATTGGGTGTAGGGGGGTGACTGTCTCCCTCTGCCCCTCCCCTCCTGTAGACAGTCTTATAGTCCAATTAGTTTGAATTAGTGGTGAGAAGCTAGAGAAGAAGGCATCTAGCTATTGCTTGCCACTCAGAGGCCAAGCTTATCTAACATGGGTGCTGAGGAATTGAACCCTGGTCCTCTCCTAGAACATCAATGCTCTTAGCCACTGAGCCATCTCTCCAGCCCCTGAGTTCCTTACTTTAGACATTCTTGAGGCAAAACTTGGGACTTTGTTGCCATTGGAGCAGGAAAGCAGCCTCCGGACAGTCTAGAAGCTCTGTGAAGTGTGATGAGAGGGAATCCAAACTGAGGATGAGCCTGGTAGACCAGGGCCCTGACAGTGCATGATCTACCACAAGCAGAATCGCTCCCAAGAGCCCTTGTGTGTGGAGCTAGTGTGTAATGTGATGTCACCATAAGGGTGCCACAATACAGCGATAGCGAAAGCCTCCTTTCCTTTTATAATAAACAATTCAAACTTGTTGGGGAAAAATATAATGCTTTAATCCACGTCCTAGGTCTCAGATTTATTCTCATTAAAGTCACTAAAAAAAGACAAAGTCTATTAAAAGAAACCAAGGTCTTCTCTAATATCTTCAAAAGATAAAGGGTCCATCCATCTTCCTTCTCCAATCCATAGGGAGAATAAAGAGGTCTCTGCCCCCACCCCACCTTAGCCAACATGGTCCCCAATGCAGACTCTGCACCTGCTCTCAGCTCCCTCCCACCAGCAGGCCTGGAAGAGATGGGATCAGGGAGAAGCTCATCCTCTTCTTCCACTGACAGCTGGGCCTCAGCCCTGAGCAATGCCCGGATCTCTCAGGCACATCCAGGGACAGTTCCTTCCATGACGTGATCAGGCAGACAGGACACAAAGGCAGGATAAAAGGCCGTGGGCTGAGTGGGTAAGAAGGTAGAGATGGCACTCAGGACGAGAGCAGATGTGTGGCTGGCAGGAGGCTGGCAGTGCTTGCATAGGACAAGGGCACTGGGCACCACAACAGTACCAGTCCCCAAGACGGTGCTGCCCTTCGAAGCCATACCTCAGTACAGCACCAACAAGTGGCTGAAGATGCTGCAGATCTGGAAGGATCAGGGCTATGAGAACCTGCACCTGGAGATGCACCAGGCCTTCCAGGACCTGGGGCCCATTTTCAGGTAAAGGCCTTCCTAGCCCATGCTGAGTCCAGCCAGAGCTTTCTGTCCTGCTGGTTGCCATTCGCCACTGGGCCCAGGCACTGCATCCTTAGGAAGATGGGGAGGGAGCATGATGGGTGATGGGCCTGACTCACTGGCTATGGGCAACGTCCACATGGACAGAGAGAAGCACCACTCATTGAGAGGACAGAGTGTAGGAGAGCTGAAGAGGAGAGGAGCCAGACAGACAGCAGGAGAGCCCTCCTGTGGGAAACCACAGGCCGGGGGTTGGGGGGAGGTCTCAGGAGCACACAGCCTGAACTGGTTTTGCAGAGAGCTCAGGTGGAGGGCCCACAGCCACCCAGCAGGGCTTTGTGCATCACCCCACAGGTATAACACGGGAAGAACACAGACAGTGTCTGTGATGCTGCCAGAGGATGCTGAGAGGCTGTACCAGGTGGATAGTGTACATCCCTGCCGATTGCCAGTGGAGCCCTGGGTGGTCCACCGGGAGCACCGCAGACTGAAGCTAGGCCTGTTCCTGCTGTGAGGAGACATTGGGAATAGTGGGGGAGGGAGGATTGGTGGCCTGGACACAGCATGTGGAACCTGCTGGGAGGGGGTGTGGAGCCAGGTCACTGCTAGGCATGGATGGGAACTGTGTCTTGGAGGGCCTGGGCCTGGGGAGGAGGGAAGTGGCTGAGGCATGCGCCTAGTCCTGAGCACCTGCTCTGGACTGCCCTTCCCTGGGGGTCACTCTCCTTCCTATAGGTTCCAAACTGGCCCTGGAAGGGGAGTCACTGGTTCATGGCCTGAACCAGCATATGCCAGAACCCAGTGACCAGCAGGACAGTTGCCCTGCCCTAAGGGTGCCTTAGCCCCTAGAGTTTGGGGGTAGACAGTCCTAGGGATGGGGGCAAGCAGGAGGTTGATGGCTCCTGTGGACTCACAAGCAAGCACGGAGGCTGGGGGTTCACCTGGAGAGGGAAGCAGGGCTCATGGGGCATAGGGTGGGTGAGCTGCACAGGGGTTGTCAAAGGGAGGGGAGGGCTAAAAGGGAAGGCAGGCTGTGCTGGGTCCCCAGTCCATGTCAGAGTGAATAATCTTGCTAATGAAATGGTTTAGGGAAATGGGCCTCATGGACTATTAAACTAAGGGACTGAACTGAGGGGGCCAGATGTAAATGGCAGCTGTGGGCAAAGGTGGACATGTGCCTCTGAGGGTACAGACCTTGTGCTTGTGTCCTGCACCTGTGAACTTTTGCTACATTTTTACGTAAGTGGTGCACCTTTGTAGTTCTGACCATGTGTTTGTACATAGATATGAAAGTGTCTGTTTGCATCTATGTGCATGACTATTGTATGTCCAGTTGTATGAGTGTTGGACATGTGTGGTCATGTGAATGTGTCTGCGCAGATATGCATGTGAGTTATCTACAGGTATTTCTTTGAGTCTATGTTCATGGCTGTTGTCTTAGGTGTGTGCACACACGGACATAGGTGTCCGCACACGTGATTTTCAGGTTTGTGAGCACACATGTGCACAAACATGTGGTGTGATCACAGTCAATGGTTGCAGGCTTTAGCACAGCAAGGGATAGATACTTTGTTTGTAAGGCTCAGTGTGCAAGTCCCAGCTCATCAATTCGCTGGAGAATGTCCACAGGGCTCCCTGTGCCCTGCCCTGTGGTTTGTGGATGCTGTGAGTGGTCTTCTGATATGCTTCCTGCCTTGAGGAAGATGGGGTCCCTTCACTGGGACAGGCAGATGCTACTGACTCGGAGGCCACACTGCATAGAAGGGACTGGGAGGGTGAGCTCAGCTGGGCCTTCTCCCCTGGGGCACGGAATGGACCAAGTGGGCAGAGTGTCACAGGAGAGTCCCCTTCCTCCCTCGGTGTGAATGTGCCAGGCAACAGGTGACCTTTAGTCCAGCATGTGTAGGCTGCTCTGGAAGAAGGGGTGTGGCCTCTGAGCCCAACATACCCTCTCCCCATCCCTCGGGGAGGCAGGAAGATGGGCACAGGCCTGGGCCAGGCCTTTTCTGGGAGGTCTCTGTAGCTCTGCTCTCTGCCCTGCAGAAACGGGCCTGAATGGCATTTCAACCGACTGAGGCTGAACCCAAAGGTGCTGTCACCAAAGGCTGTTGAAAAGTTTGTCCCCATGGTGGACACAGTGGCAAGGGACTTCTCAGAGGCCCTAAAGAAGAAGGTGCTGCAGAACGCCCGTGGGAGCCTCACCTTGGACATTCAGCCCAGCATCTTCAACTATACCATAGAAGGTGTGCAGTCAGAAGGACCCAGACCGAAGCACTCAGAGGGTGCCGTGGGGAAGAGGGGGGAGGCAGCCTTGAGACCAGAGACGCCTCAGCTCAGGGTACCATTGTCTTGCAGCCAGCAACTTTGCTCTTTTTGGAGAGCGGCTGGGCCTCCTTGGCCATGACATAAGTCCTGGTAGCCTGAAGTTCATCCATGCCTTGAAGTCCATGTTCAAGTCCACCTCACAGCTCATGTTCCTGCCCAGGAGTCTGACCAGCTGGACAAGCACCCAAGTGTGGAAGGAGCACTTTGAGGCCTGGGATGACATTACTGAGTATGGTGAGGGCCGAGGACCCTGGCAGAGCCATGGATCAGGGGCACAGAGGTTACCCAATTAGGACTGTGTTTATGGCTTGCGGTTTTTCCAGCCTGTTCACACTGAGGCTCCGGCTGGATTAGCCCAAATATGAGAGGGGTGGGGACAGTTGTGGGTCCTGTGGATGGGATGTGCAAGAGAATCAACCAGGAAGAGCTGTTAGGTCTGAAACTCCCTCCCCACATCTACAGCCAACAATCGCATCTGGAAGGTTCACCAGGAGCTCAGACTCGGCAGCCATCAGCACTATAGTGGTATTGTGGCAGAGCTAATGTCCAAGGGAGATTTGCCACTTGAGTCCATCAAGGCCAACTCCATAGAACTCACAGCTGGGAGTGTGGACACGGTCAGACCATCAAGTGTGAACCCCCGGGACTCCCTGTCTGTGTCTTCCAGAGCATGATAGACTTAGTCACAGTCCTAGGCTATGTCCATCAGAAAATTGCTGTCCTCAGCTGAAGGCTATTCTCAGAGGGGCCCCTGGGGGAGGGAGACCTTCAACTGAGGATGAGCCCATGAGAGGGGAGCCTGGGAGGGCAGAGCCTTGTACACATAGCACCCCAGGGCTTGGGGAGACATCCAGCTGCCTGAGGCAGGGACCATGGAGGAAGATGAAGCCAATAGGGGTCAAGACCAGACCAGGAAGGGCTCTGCAGCAGGTCTAATGCCAAGCACCCAGCAGAACAGTAATTCAACATGCACAGGTGAAGCATGGGGCAGCCCAGTGGTATCAAGAAGGGACCTAAGGGGCTGCTTCTGTGACTCTGGACACTAGAGCACTGGGCCATGGAAAGAGACTTTCTGGAAAAAGAGACTCGGTTTACTGTGGGGCACAGATCCCTGAAGCATGAGGAGGAGACTTGGGGATCTGCAACCCATTTCAGTTAGGCGCTGTGAGGCCCATGCAGAGGGATCTGTGGATAGTCAGTACCAGTCAGACACTGGGGCAGGTGGAGGCAGCTCTGAGTGTCCTTGAGTGAAGCTGAGGGTCTCCCCGAATAGCCACCAGAGCAGGCTGTGAGCATCAGACCCTGAAGGTGCTGAGGTGGTGGCCAGGACTGGGACGTCTTGGACTTTCCCTTCAGGACTGAGGACAAGGGATCAGGCTAATGCTACGACCTGGGGGTCAGGACTCCCTGGGCCCCACCCTGCTCTGGCCATGCACTTCTCCCACAGAGGGGCACCTTCAGGGCTGGAGTGCCCTTTGGGGAGGGTCGGGGCCCATGTCTGATCCTTGCTCCACTGCTGATGCAGACAGCTATGCCCTCGCTAATGACCCTCTTTGAGCTGGCTCGGAACCCGGACGTGCAGCGGGCCCTGCGGCAGGAGAGCCTGGCAGCTGAGGCCAGCATCTCTGCGAATCCTCGGAGGGTCATCTCGGACTTGCCCCTGCTGCGGGGTGCCCTCAAAGAGACTTTGAGGTAAGTGCTGGCTGCCCCTGCCTGGCTGTCCTGACCACTCTGATTTCTGGTGCCTGAGGCCAGCCATGGGATGGGGAGCCCCTCTGCCAGGAAGGCACTGTCCCTCAGCCCTTCTTCCCCTGGCCGGGAAGTGCCCTTCCTCCGGGATGCCCCTCAATGTCCTGTGGCCATCCTGACTCGTCCTTCCTGCCTGGGCTCAGCACGGGGAGGTTGGCTGAGCTCAGCAGTGCTGGGAACCACCCTCTCGTGACCAAGGCAGCCTGTGTCCTGGGGGCCTGAGGAGGCAGGTGGAGATGTGGACAGGAGTCCTGTCGGCGCTGAGGCCCCTCCCTGTTGGCTTCCCACCCCAGGCTCTATCCCGTGGGAAGCACTGTAGAGAGAGTTCTAAGCTCAGACTTGGTGCTCCAGAACTACCACATCCCTGCCGGGGTGAGTGAGAACCACACACCCACCATCACCTCTGCTCTGCATCACCCGAGGGGTTCCTGACCTTTCCCTTGTCATCATCTGCCCACAGACATTGGTCCTGTTTAATCTGTACTCGATGGGCCGAAACCCTGCAGTGTTCCCGAGGCCCGAGCGCTACAGCCCCCAGCGCTGGCTGGACAGGAGGAGATCTTTCCAGCACCTGGCCTTTGGCTTTGGGGTGCGGCAGTGCCTGGGGCGGCGCCTGGCAGAGGTGGAGATGCTGCTTCTGCTGCACCACGTGAGCAGCTCACGGTGGGGTCTGTGAGACCGACGCAGCAGGGCCTCCAAACGCAGTGTTAGGGCCAATAGAACGGGACTTGAGTCTATCTGTGCTTCCTGTGCCCCGAGTCCTTTCTAGAGCATGCTGGTGTTTGCAGAGCACCACGGGAGGGTCCTCCCTGCAGCATGGTGGCAGCATGCAGCCCCTGCTCAGGAGCTGGGCCAGCGCCCTGCCCTGCTGAGGATGCCAGATGGAGCCCTGCTTCTGTTCCAGGTGCTGAGATCCTTCCAGGTGGAGACACTGAGGCAAGAGGACGTGCGGATGGTCTACCGCTTTGTTTTGTTGCCCAGCTCTTATCCCCTCCTCACTTTCCGGCCTGTCGGCTAGTCACACCTCTTTGCTCAGGTCCCAGCCCCGCCACCAGCCTACCTCTCCCCTGACCTCAGGTCATTCTTCTTTGCCAAGGGCACGATTTCTGGGGCCGTACTGTCATCCTGCAACCCCTGCCCGAGTGGCACAGCTGACGGCCTTCTGGGTTGGCCAGGGAAGGGATCCAGAGGACCCTGGTGGCAACAGGCAGTCTCTGCTGAGGCAACGTTAGCATCTTTCCCAACAGTCACCCCAGGCTCCTAACGTGGTCCTCCAAGGTCTCAGAATAAACACTTAAATATGACCGCACTGTGTTTCCATTCTTATGGCATTAAGCACAGAACTGGCAAATTTTCACACACATGCACACACGCACACACACACACACACACACACACACACACACACACACATACACACCCCACAAATGGGTAGATGTGGGTGAAAAGAGGGAAAGAACAAGAAATGTACATATATATGTAGAGAGAGAGTGAGTGCTGACTCAGTGTCTTAAGTCAAAGCGGGCTGTCAATGGAGCTGTCCCATGTGATCTGGTGAATTAGAACAGGCATGTAAACATAGGGACACTTGCATTGGTCAGGACTGGGGCCAAGGTGGGAGTGAGAGATGAGGAGGCCTTGCTGGAATTGTGGTCCAGGGTCTGTGAGACAGAGTCTTTAAGGAGTTAGGTTATGTGAAATGAGGTCACTGGGTGTGACCTAATCCAACCCCACAGAGAACCTCACAAGAAGATTCAGGCCACAGACCCTCGGGACAGGCTCCCAGGGATGACTCAGAGAAGTCTGCCTTCTGCAGGCCTTGGAAAGCAGCGGGAAAGTCCTGCGCTGTCAGCTCCTTCGCGCACACGCCTCTCCTCTGCTCTGAAGAATAAGCTGTGTCAGAGCAGCAGCAGGTTGAAGTCCTCTGTCATCGTGGTGAGAGCAAACCAATAGGATCCACTAAGCAGCCAGCACAAAGGCTGACAGCCCCTCACAGCACGGGAAGGCAAGCAGCAGCTATGTGTGTCCAGCTCCTGCTCGGCAGAGGCTGTCCTTGGCTCTGCTGCTGGAAGCTTCGCTGTCTAGGTTGAGTTCCCGTGTGTGGCCACCCCAGGGCGAGTTCTTGGGCTGGGGTAATGCTGCCTGCTGTGACTTGGAGAAATGTCCCCCAAATCGTCCAGCTTGTGACATGGCTGTGTGGTGGTGGGGACATTATGAGGAGATGCCCAGCAGGAGGAAGTCCAGGCATGAGGGGTGTGTCCTTGAAAGGGGTGTTAGGACCCTGGCCTCAAGTCTCTGTTCCTGGGGACCACATATGAAATGAGCTGCCTCCTTAGGCATTCCCCCTCTGCCCGGGACATGCTGCCTCATCACAGGCTTGAAGCACCTGGCCTGTGGGATGTGATAATTTATGTCTTTTTAATATTAACATTTTAAAATTAGCGTACTGTTAGGGTCCGTGACTCGGTGGGTCTCTTCAAGGGAACAAATGCACAAGCATGGAGATGCAAAAGTCAAGCAGAGTTTTATTAAACCAGCTAGCTGGGGTCGACCATCCTTCCAAGATACACAGGCCTGGTTGGAGCAATCGACCCTGAAGCAACTTCAAGTAGGGATTATATAGGCTCCCACTTGCTCAAAAGTCCGCGCTTTTCACTTAACCAATAGTTTCAAATCATCAATAACTTCAAAACCCCACCACCAGTAATTCTAAAACAATGCTGCAACTCCCTTTAGGTGTCCCGGTCGGGGAGGGTGGCATGTGTGGTATGTGACTGGCGCAGCCCTTCCCTGTTATCTGCAGCTCCCCTATCTCCGGGTGCCTGTGTCTTTTCCTGAATTGGGTTAATCAGTCACAAGCAGTAAATTCAAGCAAGCAGTAAATTCAAACAAGTAAATTCAAGCAGTAAGTTCAAACAAGCAGTAAATTCCTCTTTTTCACAACAGTACAAAATACTGGATTTCATTATGACATTTTCATACGTGCATTTCATTATCATGGTTAATCTTGATTTCATTTCCAAATTTGATTCTATACATAGGAAACATAAACACTTCACAAAATTCCATTAGACTGATGTCCTAGTTTTTTCTTCATTGCTGTGACAAAACACTCTGACCAGTACCAACTTGGGGAGGAAAGAGTTTATTTATCTTACATCTCCCAGGTCACAGTTCATCCAGAAACCCAAGGTAGGAACTCAGGGCAGGAACCTGGAGGCAGGAGCTGGAGCACAGGCCATGGAGGAACACTGCTTACTGGCTTGCTCCCCTGGCCCCTGCTCAGCCTGCTTTCTTATGCAATACAGGCCCACCTGCCCAGGGGTGGCACCACCCACAGTGGGCTGGGCCCTCCCACATCACTCATCAAGAAGATACCCCTCAGACATGGCCACAGGCCAGTCCAATAGAGGCAATTCCCCAATTGAGGCTCCCTCAACCCAGGTGTGTCAAGTTGATACTAAAGCTATACAGCACAGGCTATTTAGGACTAAAGATAGCCCAAGATTGTAAATTGGCTCTGGATCTGCAACATTCCAAACTCTCCACATCATTAAAGTGTTGATCAGTTGGTCACCCCTACAGGAAGTTCAGTCCAAGCTGCATTCACAGAGGTGTCATAAACTCTGCATAGGGTGGGGGTGGGGGGCACATGGGCTGTTGGTTTGTGGGAAGAAACTGAGGCCAATTACCCTCCAAAATAAGCTTTGTTACTGTGGAAAAGCAAAACCCTCACTCTGTTATCACAACTTCCAGAGACCAGTGAGAGTGAGCCAGCTTCTGTTGTACCATTCTGCAGAAGTGGTCATCAATGTACAGAAAATGCAAAAATGGCCGATGCTTCGGTTTCACATGAAACAGTAGTTTTTATAGTCTTGCTCCTGAAAAAATTCCTACTCTCTTCTTCCCACAGGCTGGTACTCCAGAGATTACAGTCTTCTCACTTGTCTAGCAGAGCCCCTAACCAAATCCCTAGCCTCCTGGGGCTTGAGCCCCTCCCCTTTTCTGATACATGGATTCAGTCATGTTGCAGATTAACTATCTACAACTTTTCAAGTCCAAGATGTACTGAAAGAACCTAGACAGGCATCTGATAGCTAGTGTGGACGGGGGCTTGGTGCCTCCTGCTTAGCTGTGATTCTTGGATGAGCTCTAAACATACTTCATACTGAAAATGGACCATAATGATTTATTTCTTTCATTAGGAGAGAGGGTTCATGGCCACAGGGGCCGAGTTTGGGCCTTGAGATGGGAGAGCAATTGTGGAAGGGACAGAGCATCAGAGGCGGAATAATGGGACCTTGAAGGGACACAGAGGCTTTCCTTCAGAAACTGGAGAGGAGTTTCATTAGAAGCTAAAAGTGGGAAGTAGGGAGACCGCTGCCCTTTACAGCGTGACAGGGGAGGGGAGCTGAGGAGAAAGCTTCCCGAGAAAGACAGGTTCACGGGTTTTACATGCAAGAAGGACGGTACTAAGTAAGACTGCAAATGCATCTTGCAGTTGTGAGGGGCAGGTGCTGGGTTTGCTGTCCACACCACTCCTGAAGGTGATCTGTGTGCTCCGACCTTCACAGTGGGGCGCCTGCCAGATGCAGGCGTTGTGACTTGATTTTGGGGTGAGAGAGACAGCTGGAGGGTCTGTGAGGTAACAGAAGTAGCAGGCAGCTCCACAGCATGGGGGCAGGAGACCAACTCTTCATCTCCTTACAACTTGTCAAAAACAGGAAGCACAGGGCTGGAGGATGGCTCAGTGGTTAAGAGCACTGCTCCTGCAGAGGACCCAGATTCAATTCCAAGCACCTACATGGTGGCTAACAACCCTCTGACAGTTCCAATTCCAGGGGATCCTATGCCCTTTTCTGACCTCCACAGGCATTGCTTGACATGAGTATCCTTACACACACAGGCAACACACTCTGTAGAACCCTGAGACCTTCTTCATTCACCCGCTGCCCCCAATCCCCCCAGACCCCCACTAATTGCTCTTTTAGCTTCTGTAAAATGATTGGCTGCTGCTTTAGACATGCCTAGACATACCCTGGCATGCCCTGACCCCCGCCTGCTATTCCCCACCCCCTTCCAGGAAACTATAGATTAAGCAAGCCCGTGCATAAAAAGTGCCCTATAAGGTAAAAACAGAGACTCCTGGCCCCACAGGTAACAGTCAGCACATTTCACAGCCCTGAGAATAGCACCTACCAATAAGAAACTTCCAGGGCTGCATCTTATAC